CCCCCGACTCCCCAGTTTTACATGTAATTCAACATGGGATCTAAAAGGGGAAACACTGAAACTGAAAATCCTCTGCTGGTTGAATGAAAAATCCTGAAGGAAACCTCAAATTTTTCTACAGGAAGTGATTAAAAGTTTCCCTTATAAAACTTATTTTGTGAGTTGCAAGTCACTGTTCACATTTTGCCCCAATGCAAGACGCGAGGCTTTTAACATCAATTTCCAGATGAAATAATCTGGGCCTCAGAGTTATCACTCATTTGATACGGACCCGGTGGACTCCGGTCACTGTCATATGTCACGGCTAAAGCTACTGTAACTGTAACTGATGCACACACCTCTTCCCAGCTTCCCAGTCTGAAGTTCTGTCTAGTTACCGAACCTCCGAACCTCCGCTCTGAAACTAAACACACCCAGGCATGCTCCTCTACGAACCTCTTCCCACCCTCACCTTCCCTCCTCCCCCTCTGTGAATGCCTGAGTAAAGTGTCTCATTTAATTATCTGTCCAAATTCCAGGCCACCATACCGTATGCTCAGTTTCACCACAGGCTGCTAGTGCTTCAGTTCTAAAAAAACCAGCCAACTGAATATGGATCTTTGGCAATCCGAGTTTAACCATCCAAAGCTGGAGGTCTTGCTCCCATCCTAAATCGGCACTCGCTGTCCTGGGTCTGGGCCCTAGTCCCCTCTCCAGTAAGACCTTCAAGTTAGAATCTTACTTTGCAGAGGCTCCTTTCTCCTATTTCCAAGTTTGCTTTTCGCATAAAGCTCACCGGTCTTATGCGGACGTGATGATGACTACCTATCGCTAGTCTGACAAATTCCATATACAGATTTAAAATAGAAATAAAACAGATTAAATTAAAATAAAATAAAACAGATCCTATTCACCTCAGACCTAGTGCAGAAAAAGAAAACGAAATATAAATAAAGTGCTGCTTAAATGTTTATGAGAGCCTATTTAAAATACTGTATTTTCAATGACCTAAAACAGTCCAATAAAATTTTGACAGGTAACTAGGAAAGTTCTAACAACTTTTTTTTTAATTGGAGCCACATTTGAGTCAGTTGAATGGACTTTTGTGTTACTGTATTAAAACTATATTTCTGTCCTTTCATAAAGTTTCTTCCTGTGGCACGCAAAAGGCCAGAGAGGGGACTGGTATTTTGAAACAGTGAACAATGCTCTTCTGTCTCCCCCCTTTTCTTGTTACTGTATGTAGCGATTAAACAAAAATGTCTGCTTTAGTCAAGATGGCTACAGGAGAGACTGCAGGCTTCTTTCAAAGCTTTTGAAGTCCACAGCAGTCAGAAATCTCTGATCCCCTAATTATATCATTATCAGGCGCATAGTTTCGGTATCTGTGACTTCATGTCAGCCTCAGTCCCTCCCTGTTCTGCCGGCCTTTGATAGGGCCAGGAGGCTCCCCTCTGCAGGCTGCAAGGGCTGTTATTTAGGGTTAATTACACCCTTCCTTCCTAAATAAATAAATACTGTAGCACATCATCCTTGCTGGGCTAGCTTATCCTTTAACCTCATGCCTGCTACATGGCAATTAGAGAAAAGTGGGGAGTGCAAAAGCTAAATAACGCTTCCTATTTTTTTTTTTTTTTTTCAAATTATCTGTTCACAGAACAGTAGGTAGAATTCATGGCGGGGGAGCTGGGGGACCCTCGAAACCTAGAGGGAGCTCGAGTTATTTCGATCTAAAAGGTGAAGCACGCAGGGAAGAAAGGAAACTGACCGCTGCTGTTTTTTTTTTTTTTGAGGAGTGTTTGTAAAAGATGAGGTTAGTGCGAAACGGGACCGCTGACAGAGCCTACTCCTTCCAGCCACTGAGAAGCAACACAACACACACACTCCTGCAGAGACACACCTTGGACACCTACACTCGCAGGGAGGCACACATACTCGCTGGCTCACAAAGACCCTCAGAGACACACAAAGACAGACTCAGGGACACATTCAAACAGAGAGACACACTCAAATACAGAAACATGCTCCAATACAGAGACATACTCACGGACAGACTCACTCAGAGACATACGGACACACACACTCTCGGGCAGTGCAGCTGGGGGCAGGGGTCTGCGGTTCTCCTGGCCGCCCCGCCCTCGCACGGGTCCCAGCGCATCCTAAGGCCCCGTTCCCGGGCGGCAAACGTTCAGAAGTTCACTACAGACAGATTTACAAAAGCATTTTGACAGCCACTTGCCCTGAGGTCTGACCCCACCTCCACGCGCCGGGCGCGGGACAACCGAGGGGACGGACGGCCGCGAAGCCACCGCCGCGACTTCTAAGAACAGGCAACTTGTCGCGACCTGCGGCTCCAGCGCGGGAGGAAAGCTCGCCC